GCTGATCGATCCTCGGCAGTGTACACATTATTCTGGATCGGGCCGTACGACCTTAGCATAAATCGTGCGTATTAAAGCTCGGAGTCCGATTACACTTGATATCATTCTTATGACTTGAGAAAATTATAATTTACTTGATGGCCCGTAATTGTTGAAGTTAGTATGTGTCAGTGGAGATTTTTAATTGACTTTTAGTTAAAGAATCACTTATTTACTGTTTGTTATTGTGTTATTATTGATGTATTCCATGCCGGTTTAGAATTTTCGTATTTTATTTATTGGCCCATAGTAAGTGTCGATGTATGTAACGACCCGGCCGGTCGTTTTGAGTATTACAATCCCGCTTCTCCCTTTACTGCTCAAATTGTACTTTACAGTTGTTGTGTGAATTGCTGGGGTAATTGGTTCGGGTCCGGTGAGGTTTTGGAATGAATTAGAACACTTAGTTTCAAGGTTTAAAGCTTAAGTTAAAATAGTGACCGGATATCGACTTATGTGTAAACGACCTCGGAATTTAATTCTGTTGATTTTAATAGCTCCGTATGGTGATTTTGGACTTAGGAGCTTGTCCGAAAAATTATTTGGAGGTCCGTAGTGGAATTAAGCTTGAAATGCCGAAAGTCAAATTTTTGGAAAGTTTGACCGGGGAGTTGAATTTTTGATATCGATGTCGGAATCTGATTCTGGAAATTGGAATAGCTCTGTTATGTCGTTTATGACTTGTGTGCAAAATTTGAGGTCAATCAGACGTGATTTGATGTGTTATGACGCAAGTTGTAGAACTAGAAATTTCAAAGTTCATTAGGCTTGAATTGGAGTATAATTCATAGTTTTAGCGTTGTTTGAGGTGATTTGAGGGTTTGACTAAGTCCGTATGATGTTTTAGGACTTGTTGGTATATTTGATTGAGGTCCCGAGGGGCTCGGGTGAGTTTTGGATGGTTAATAGATCATTTTTTGCCTTGGTGAGATTGCTGATATCTGTTGTTGCATTTTTCGGATTTTCTCTTTCGCGTTCGCGAGTGGGACCTCGCGTTCGCGAAGAGGAATTTGTGGCAGGCAGGATTTACTATTCGCGTTCGCGAGGAGGTCTCGCGTTCGCGAAGAGAAGCTGGGTTGTGCATCGCGTTCGCGTATAGGGTATCGCGTTCGCGAAGGGAAACATAGTGGGCATGGACTTTTGCCTTCGCGTTCGCGAAGAGCAAATGTTGGGAAGCACATTTTGTGCTTCGCGAACGCGAGGGACATGTCGCGTTCGCGAAGAAGAGAGGTCTGGACAGAAAGTTTAAGTTCAGAAAATGGGACTTCGTCCCATTTTTCATTTTTAACGATTTCGAGCTCGGATTGAGGCGATGTTTGGGAGATTTTTAGAGGAAACAACGGGGTAAGTGTTCTTAACTCATTATTGATTAAATTACCCGAATCCATGGTTGTTTTTAGCATTTAATTGGTGAATTAAGTTGGAAAAATTTGTGAAAACCCTCTTGGATTAATTTGGAGATTTGAGGGTCGAGTAGATATCGGATTTGAGTAAAATTTATATGGTTGGACTCGTGGTTGAATGGGTATTAATATTTTATAACTTTCGTCAGATTCCGAGACGTGGGCCCTACGGGTGATGTTTGGGGCGTAATTTCGGATTTTGTGAAAATATTAGTATTTTGATATGGAATTAATTTCTATAAAATTTGTGGGCTGAATCAAATTAATTGTGACTAGATTCGAGCCGTTTGAAAGTTGATACATGCAGAGTGAAATTGCTGGAGCATTGCTTAACTTGCTCGACATTGGATTTGGCTTGTTCGAGGTAAGTAACTCTTCTAATCTTGGAGTTGAGGGTATGAACCCTGAATATATGTATTTTATGAATTGTTGGTAGGTGACGCACATGCTAGGTGATGGACGTGTAGGCATGCACTATAGAAATTGTGACGTAATTATTTATGTGGAATTTTATAGTTAAATAATCTTGACATTTTCCATGCGGTTTTATGTGTTAAAGAAATTGAGCTGAAAAGCATATTAGAAATCATATTGAGGCCATGTGCCAGTATTATTGGGACCCTCAGAGGTCGTATTGCTGTAAATTATTGTGTTAAATTGAAAATTCATACTCAGTCATATTCATTTCATTGCATATCATAACTCAGTTTTATGACTTTATTTTGATGCATATAAATGTTTTAGGCCGAATGCACTATTTTACTGAGATGCCCGAGTGGCTTGAGAGGTTTATGACTGAGTGAGGCCGAGGGCCTGATTTATGTTGCATATTTATGGGATCGGGCTACACGCCGCAGCATGTGAATCAGGGCTGCCCGCCTGCAGCATATTTATGACTGAGTGAGGCCGAGGGCCTGATTTATGAGGATGAGTGTGGATCGGAGTTGCCCGCCTGCAGCATACTTTATTATTATAGCACGTGAGTTGTCCGTGCAGATTATAGCGCTTGGGCTGTAGGAGCTCCTCCGGAGTCTGTACACACCCCCAGTGAGCGCAGGTACCTACTGAGTACGAGTGCCGAGTGCTGAGTGACTAGGAGGCATGTGTGATTGTGAAGTATTCCCGAGTGGCAAGAGTGATTGGGAGGTATGCCCGAGTGGCAAGAGTGATTGGGAGGTATGCCCGAGTGGCACGAGTGACTGTGAGGTTTTGCCCGAGGGGCTGTATATGAGTGATGTTCTGCCCGAGGGGCTGTTTATGATCTTATCATTGAGTTACATTGCATTGGCATGCACAAATGACATATATGCATAGAGATGTATTTCCTCGTGCTGTACTGCATCACATCATTCATGATTTTTCACACATTGTTGACAGATGGGCATAGTGATGCATTTGTTTTTACACGGGTTATCCGGAAGGAAAATGAAATATCTTATTTATTATTGACAAGATTTTGGAAAAAATTTATTATTTTCAAACTATTCATATTTTTGGCAACTCCAGCAAACGATTTGGTTTTTTTCACTGATGTATTTGAATGAAAGAACTACTATTTTTGAAATCATGATTTGGCTGGGTATTTTATCCCTGAGTTACTTCTGGCATTATTTGTTTTATGTTGTAATGGATTGTTGTGGACTATTGGTTTTGGACCCGACCTTGGTGGAAGCTCGTCACTACTTTCAACCTACGGCTAGGTTTGTTACTTACTCAGTACATGGGGTCGGTTGTACTGATACTACACTTCTGCACATTACGTGCAGATGTTGGCTGTTGTTGTTGCTGTGCTCAATGGTTGCGGGACTTGAAGATGTACATGTGTTCCTGTTGTAGCTGCCTTTTGTTCAGGATAGCCTTAGATTTATAAAAGCTTTGTTTATGTATTATTCAAATAGACTATGTATTATTTCATTTCCGCTTTGTATATTCTATTCTTAGAAACTCATGATTTGTACTACCAGTTCTTGGGAAATGTATAAGTTTAAGATAATTATTTACTTAAATTTCTTTAATAATTGTTATTAGAATTGAATAGTTGAAAGTTGGCTTACTTAGCGGGTTGGGTTAGGTGCCATCACGACTAGTTGGATTTTAGGTCGTGACACAACCCCTCGTCACTATTTCTCCGAGTTTAGACTGGATTCTTATTGGGTACATGTTGTTTATGTACTCACGCTACACTTCTGCACTAATCGTGCATCTGGCATTTATTCAGGCGCGCACCCCCGATATCCTGAGGCATAGTGGTGAGCTACTCTCTGTGTCCATTCTGCAGCACCTGCAATCTTTCTTTTGTATTTACTTTCTGTCTATCTTATTTCAAACAGTAACATCGGTGTTTTGTATACTCTACTAGTTGCTCATATACTTGTGACACCGGGTTTTGGGAATATGCTAGTAGACACTTGATGATTTTGGGTATTTATTTTTCGTATCTTGCTTTTTCATTGGTTCACGCTTTACTTTACTATAATTTTTCCACTTCTCATTTACTTAATAAATAAAAATTAACTATTTTAAAATTTAAAAATAAAAATTAATGCATGGCTAGTTCACCGTTTACTTGCCTAGCAGCGACTCTGGGCACCATCACGGCCTATAGGGAAAATTGGGTCGCGACAATATTCATTGAAACCGGAAAGAAAGAGATCAATTTTGCTTCTACCAAGAGTGAGGAAAGATTGAGCTCTTGATGTCGCGGTTGAGTTTTGCTGCTTCCACAGAACTTACCGAGACGACAATAAAGTATCATTCCCCATGACTTTTTATTATGAAATGTTTCAAGTTCTTGAATGGTTATATTTTCAATTCTTTGTGCCCATTTTATTTGAGAAGTTTCAAGAGTTTCACGGAAATAAATACTATTTACAATAGTTATAGTACTATTATTTGTGAGTAATATTTAAGTAGGAACATGAGGGCGGCAATAGGACATATATTAAAAATATTTTTTCAATAAAATGTATGTCAACTTCTCTTCCAACTGAGAAGATTGTGTTTCAGTACAATTTCTTTTCTTGCCATTAGAAAAGGAGATTGCTGCCATTAGAAAAGGAGATTGCTTTCGAGCACATTATCATTATAAACCTACAAACAGTGTGATACTTTTTCTTAGATTCATTTGTTTTATGTTTTCCCATGTAATAATTAGTTTTAGTTTTTGTTATTATAACCACTTTATCTCTTCCATTAAATTTATAGAAAAAATCATTTTGTAAATTTAGTGATATACCGCGCTTATTAACTAGTTTGAAGAATATTTTTGTCCCCACAGGTTACCACTATTAACTTTCCCGCTCTCGCGCTGTCAATTGTCTCACTTTGCTTTCCTTGACATATTTATAAAATATATTAAAACAGCCAAAATTGCCTTGTACTCCATTCATTAGCCAATGTTCATCTTTCTCAAACTTAATTTTGTTATAGTATCAAATATCAATTTTCCACGAGTACTAAAGTTGGAATTGAATATAGTTTTTGACCCCCTAAATGAACAAACAGTCCAGAATGTACTTCCGTTTCAAGCCACAAATTAATTATAACACCGGATAACAATTAGAAGAATTAATCATCACCAATCAAATTAAAATTAAAATTTTCATGTAGCCTCAGCCGTCAAACAATAAACATTCCCAATACAATCTTTGAAAGATAGAACTCAAAATTTCAAGCGAAACATGCCTCAAAATGACAACCTTCAAACTCCGAAATAGTAAAATTACAAAAAACCACATTCCTATGAAAAAAATACTTCGAACAGCACAAAATTCTCCTGATACTAAGGCTATAGGGACATTGAGATTATACTATGAAAATTCAGAGATTCATTCCTCTCATCAAGAGGATGCCTTTGTCTTTGTGGGAGCCAATTGAGTCTCGGGCTGCATGAAAAGAAAATATTTAGGCATACTTGCAAAAAGATTTAGGTTGCAAAGGATACAACACTTTCCAAGGACAACATGATGGCAGAAACAACAATATATAAAGATGACTAATGAAAAAGCGAAGTCAACTGAGATAATGTATAAACCATGTATTCAAGTTATGAGAATCAACTATGGGAAAGAACTAATGAGGCAGAGCATCAAACTAATACCTCCTTCCTGACAGATTCTTCCTTCTCAGACAATGTCAACTCGATGTGGCACGGATTAGACATGTAGGCTACAGAAAGGCCAAGAGGTTAGAATGGTAATGCATATCCTCGGCTACAAGAACCATTGAGAAAATAAGGGCACTCACGATTGATTCTTCCATGAGCACGGTACGTGCGGCGCCTCTGTTTCTGGGCTTGGTTTACTTGGATGTGAGTTATGTAAAGTGAATCCACGTCCAAGCCTTTAACCTAAAATGAGGTGAAACTAACCATCAATTCATCTTCTTAGAGATAGGCGGAAGTAGAGGAATCTACACAAAAAGAAATAATCCTACAAATCCAAACATACTTCAGCATTACTCTCAGCATTCTTGAGTAAATCTAGAATAAACCCTGCAGATTTGACAGGCCAACGTCCTTGTCCATTTGAGTGGCGATTCTTTGCCTGAGCAGTACGACCAACCCCACGACAAAATCGTGTGAAGGGAATGGCCTGCTTGTGGGCAATAACATCCTCCAAGTATCTCTTTGCCTTGTCCAAAGGCATCTTCCTAAGGGCATGCGCTGTCTCTCTAGTATTCTACATGTTGATAATAAATACAAATTGAGTCACAAAAAGCATGGAAAAATTAGAAAACCCATAAAAAAGTTACACAACTGTTGAATATCATTCCAACAAGTTAATTCTCCGCTTTCAAAAACACATCTGTGCTAAATAAGCATAAAAATTTTACATATTCGATTTGAGTAATGGAGTTCAGCAATACCCAAGATATGATTTACTTATCCAAACAATTCAAGGAAATAATAGAACTAAACCATGCAAGCTCATTCCTATCTCAAATCCACCAGCTTAAGACACATAGTTAACAAAGCGGAACAGAATGGCTAAAACATTAATTGACAGATATGTTTAGCTTTGTTTAAGTAATTTTACTTGAAGCTAATCACAAAAGTAGCAGCATGCTTAATCCACAAAAAGGGAACCACTACTTCACATACAAATGAGATACAAACAGATGAAGCTTGATTGATCTAGAATGCAATATAGTAAAAGCTCTTATTACTCAATATGCAAATGCAGAAAAAAATAAGATATCTTAAGCCCCATAAAGCAGGTGACATTGAGATTAAAAAAAATAGCTTGCAAAGTAGAAAATCATGTTCGATCAAATTTAACATAAAATATATATCACACACCTTGAAATGGACTCTGAGATCCGAGCCCCTAGCTTTGCAAGCTGATACAAGAACACAACCCCAACTCATAATATTAGAAAACCAAATAAACCAACATATAAAACACTCCAAATTTTGTTACAAAAATCATGAGCCTTGCAACTTAAATGTGTCTTATCATATTGAGTACTCACATTTTGTGGGGTTCTCTGGTTCCCTTGAATACTTCACCTACATAAAAAGCAAAAGGATTAACAAACTGATCAATGGGAGGATTCGAAAGTTTAACTCATCGACTTACCATGGTTGCCGTTTATGCTGCTACTCCCCAGCAGCTGCTGATACAGATGTCTTTTCGCTGCTAGGGCTTTCGTGCTAATTTAAGATGTAATGGTTTATAGGGTTTTAATTAATTGGGCTGCGTAAATTTTTACTAGGCCTTTTGAATTATTTGGGCCTTTAACTTGTGCTGGGCTTTCTTTCTTTTATGGGAAAATCTCACTTTATACCCATTAAGCCTAAACTATTTACCCTTTAATATCCAAACCTAAACTATTTATTTTTCCTACCTATGCGGCCCAAACTATTTACCCGGCCCACCCATTAGATATGTGCCTTCTCATTTGAAGTACAGAATGTTAAAAATATTCGGCTTCATTTTTGCAAGCTTACCTGGTAGTAGACTTGAATGGATCTACTTCTTCTTTGCCAAATCGATCTTCATTAAGAGGGCTAACCCAAGCTATTGCTCTACCTCCTTTCCTTATGATTTTTGTATGTGCATGAAGACCCACCATTGTTGAGTTTGAAGCTCCTGAATTTGAAATTTTATTTTGAAAATTTATTATTTGATTCGATTTTATTTTTGAAGATTTCTTGTTTATTCAAAGTGGATGTTATTAAATATTACTTATAGTACATTCTGGAAGTTCATACTGAAATTTGTTCACATTTGAAGTTGATTTGAGGTGATTGAGATCGAATCTTTCAGCTGAAAATCGAAGAAGAACACAATTACCTAATAGTATACTGCTACGGTATACAATATGTTGTAGGAGTATATAGTTATATTGCAACAATATACTATTATAGTATACAATATACTGCAACGGTATACTGTAATAATCAAAAAAGAACACAGTTACCTAACAGTATATCATTATGGTATACAATATACTGTAGGAGTATATAGCTATAATGCAAACTGTATACTATTATAGTATATAATATACTGTAACGGTATATTGTAATAATCTGCAATATACTGTAACATTATGCTGTAATAGTATACAATATACCATAATAGTATACTATTTTAATGTAATAGTATAATGTTGAATGAAGAACATAAAATATCATTTTCATATATTGTATTCTATTTTGGTATATAATATATAATTCAATAGTATATAGTCTACTACAATAATATATTGTTATAATATACAATATGATGTTATAATTGGGTTATTTTTTAATTTTGTTAATTTTTTAACTGGATCCTTTTTAAATATTTTAACAAAGTTCTCATGCTTTTTACAATTTTTTTCTTAAAAAAGGCGTTAGATGGAATTCCATGTAGATATTATTTATTGTATTAGAAGTAGATGATGAAAATAATAATTATTTCTCTCTTCTTGATATTTAACTTTTATGGGCAGCCTACGATTTCACCTCTTGTTGGCTTTCTCAGGTTCTCGCTTCCTTCCTCCTTATGTAACGTGTCAAGAATAAATTATGGGCACAATTTAATTTCACGTTTTAACAATAGCCTCTTATGACTTTTCATTTAACTTTATGAAAGCATAGCCAGAATCACAATTCCCCTGTCTCATTTCACTAATAATATTACCCACAAAAGCTACAATGGGTAGGAAGAGTAATTAGTTTGGTGGGTAGAAAAACTAATAGGTAAGTAAGGGTAATTAGTTTAGTTTTTGTGGGTAAAGCTATAAAACTCCCTTCTTTTATATGGAATTTACATAATATACCCACTTGTAAAACTCGTGTTCATGATATACCTAAGTTTTAAAATTACATCAAATATCTTAAAAATATTACTCTTATACCTCTAAATCTTCCCATATATTCTGAAACATATCACAAATTATACTTTGGAATAAAATCCAAATATAACTTACCATAATCATCTATATCTTCTATATATTATTATAAAAGTGGGAACCCTTAATCTAAAAGGTTAAATTACTGAAATGCCCTTCTTAAAAATCTAATATTTATTAATGAAAAAACTAATTTAATTTTAAGTGCTTTTCTAAAAGGTTATGTCCTTTTAATATGTAACTAAATATCCAGATTTGAACTCTATTCATTCGTTACCTTTAGTGGAAAAATAAAACGTTGCCTTTAGCGGGGAAACAAAATATGGCCTTTATTAAAAAGACTAGTATTAGGGTACGCGCAGAGGCGAATCCAGGATTTAAATTTTATGGGTTCAATTTTTAAGATTTTTAACATTAAACCCATTATATATTTTAAGTTATGGATTCAAATCTATTATTTTTGTAATTTTAATTAATTTTTACACATAAATTTCTACTCCGCGTCGAAGGTTATGGGTTCAATTGAACCTGTAACTCTCACACTGGATCCGCCTCTGGGTACGCGCTTTGCGCGTGTATCCATACTGATGAGTATAAAAATTAAAAATAAATTACGTAAATAATATTAATTTATGTGATTGTGTTATAAAATAAAATTTTATAAAACCACAAGCTCTTGGAAAATAATGAATATTAATCCCATTTAGCTAACTTATTAAATAAATAAAAATTACGTCATTCTTAATGCCTTGTCAAAACTTTGATATATATATATATATATATATATATA